TCCCAGGGGGCTGGCCTGACAGGTAGGCTGAGCCGACACTGGGCCATTAGGTGTGAGTTGAAGGAAGAGGCAAGTCTCCCAACCATGCAACCTATCATAGCTCCCCAGCTGGCTCCTGAAACTCCCATATAAATACAGAAAGGTCATAATTTCCAAACAAGAAATTAGGACTCATATCTGATAGGTTACCGTCAGAAAAACAGGACAGAGCTGTTTGGCCAAATCTGGGATGAATGGTCACTCAGAGATTTCATCCCTTATTCCAGTTGAGATCAAAGACAGAGGCTGCTAGCTTAGAACACTACTGAGAAGAATTCTGGGGCCACATCTGGGTTTCGTAGTGGAAGAATGCAGGAATATATTAGGAAGGCCTGAGATAGTCATGCATGAACTAGTGAAAGCATCGCGATATTGGCTTCACATACAAATGGCTTCTTAGAGGGCTAACAGTGAAATGTCATTTGCTGTTAACTTCCTGGCACAAATTAAATTATTACATTAGCCGCCCATCACAAGGCTCTAAGTGAATGGGTCACAGCATAGGTGAATTTGTTTCTATGGCTTATTTTTCCCTTTTAGAATTGAGTTAAAATTCACATAACAGAAAATTCACCATTTAAACCATTTAAAATTATATAATTCAGTGGCTTTTAATACATTCAGAAGACTGTGCAACCATCACCATTATCTAATTCCAGAATCATTTCATCACTCCAGAAAGAAACCCATTAAACAGTTATTCCCAATTCTCCCCTCCCCTCAGCCCTTGGTAACTGCTGATTTGCTCTCTGTCTATGGATTTGCCTATTCTGGACATTGGCAATAAACTGAATCATAAAATATGCGGCTTTTTGGTGTGGTGGCTCACGCCTGTAATCCCAGCACTTTGGGAGGCCGAGGTGGGTGATTCATGAGGTCAGGAGATCGAGACCATCCTGGTCAACATGGTGAAACCCCGTCTGTACTAAAAGTACAAAAATTAGCTGGGTGTGGTGGCGCGTGCCTGTAATCCCAGCTGCTCGGGAGATTGAGACACGAGAATCGCTTGAACCCGGGAGGCGGAAGTTGCAGTGAGCTGAGATCGTGCCAATGCACTCAAGCCTGGCAACAGAGAGTGATTCCATCTCAAAAAAAAAAAAAAAAGAAAAAAGAAAGAAAGAAAGAAAGTGGGAAAGAGTGTTGCAGCAGCACACCTTGGGTCCGCTGTGGAATCATAAGGGCAAAGGGTCTCTAGACTTCTTGGTAAGGAGAGAGAGAGAAGATGGGGCCACAATAGGATAGTAATGACCTTGGGCTTAACTGATAGAAGAAGAATGGGTTTGTGCAGAATTTATACAATGGCTGCTAATACTGCTAATATTTCTCTCTCTCTTTTTTTTCAATAAGAAAGAGAAAAATCTATGGTGGAGATGAAAAGATGGGTTACGGGAGGGCCAAAGTAAAGTGAAAATTGTACTGGTTTTGGCCGTGTCTTACCAGCATGTTGTTAATAGATGCTGTTTTAGCAGAAAGAAGAAAAGCGTGTTTAGCTGCATGTAATGCAAGATGACAAAATTGGTAGAGGAAATTTTAGCACAACAAATTGAAGAAAGAGATTCACTTATTACAAGAATACTGCTGTGCATTTCCATAGTGATGGGCTTCTAAAGCATATTCTTGTCTGTAAGCTCATTAGGATAAATGAATCAGACAGAGCAGGTACTATTTTCCGTCATTTGTGAAATAAGAAAATCAAGGCACCCAGCATAGTTCCTGGTGATTAGTAGGTATTCAATCAGTATTTGCTAAATAAATGAAGCAGAGTCACATTGTCAAAGAATATCAGTGCTTAGAGGACCTTTGAGATCATCCAGAACCCCTTCTCCCACTTCATTTTTGGAGGAGGCACATCAGAGCAGATTGGGGAAATTTGGGACTTAAATCCAAGGTCAATTGGTCAGGGAGTGAAGGACCCAAGTCAGTAGTGTGTCCTTTGTCTCAGTACAGAGTGGCGGCATGACAATTACATGGCTTTGTGATGATGTGTGCCCTTTCCTATCTCTACCACTGAGCCATATGCTTCTGGGGGTGGAGCTTGCGTCTGATTCGTCTTTGAGTACCCAGGATGTCGTACACAGTTGATGAAACGTATTGGATGGATTAACAGGAATGGAAGCTCTGTGTTCTTACTGGGTCTCTGCTCCTTCTTCTCATTTTGCCATAGCTTTTAGTGGCAGATACAAAACTCAACCAGAGTTTCCAGGCCCCGAGGAACTTTTCCCTCTACCCCAGTGTCTACATTCATCAAGGTAGGTGACACAAGATGTACTCACAGAGTGCAGACCGCAAAAGTTGTACCTGGCAGGTTACTTTGGACTTGTTAGGCTCCTTGGGATAATCTCTACTGTACTGTTATTATGGAAGTATCTGGAAGGTGAGAGAAAGAGGACCTTTTCCTTAATTCAAAGCCTAATGTTAGTCCAGCTACCTTAAGTAGAATCCCAAGTGTATCTTGCACACCAGAAAGTTCCTTCCTGGCCGGGCATGGTGGCTCACATCTATAATCGCAGCACTTTGGGAGGCTGAGATGGGTGGATCACTTGAGGTCAGGAGTTCGTGACCAGCCTGGCCAACATGGTGAAATCCTGTCTTTACAAAAAATACAAAAATTAGTCAAGTGTGGTGGCATGCACCTGTATTCCCAGCTACTCAGGAGGCTGAGGCAGGAGAACTGCTTGAACCCAGAAGGCGGAGGTTGCAGTGAGTCGAGATTGCACTACTGCACTCCAGCCTGGGGGATGGAGCGAGACTCCATTTCAAAAAAAAAAAAAAAGAAAAGGAAAAGAAAGTACCTTCCTTTGGTATGCTGTACAGGTCCCAGATGGAGGCAGGCTTGCCTTGGAGAAATTATGCTCTTCAGAATGGAACTCGACAACGATGGAGGCAGTAAGAGGTGACAGGGTCTTCAAGGGGTTCTGAAACAATTCCTTGTCTACCCTGTTTTGCTCTTCTGGGGGACTTCTGTTTGTTCCTGAGCACATATTTGAGGCAAAATGGAGGACGTCTTATAGTGGTCTTTTCCATGCCTCAGTACTAGTTATGGTCAGCCTGTGAATGGCATATGGTGGGTACCAAAGCTCACGCATGAAGGGTCTGTGTGCAGGGCAGAAAGAGAGGCACAGGGGACTGCACATTGACCATGCTTTGAGCTTTGGTATCTGACCTCTGTCTTCTGTTTCTGTCCCGTGTTGAGTAGCCACCATGGGGTTCTTCTACATAAGCCTCCACTTCATGTCTCCTGCACCAACTCCAAGACCCGTATGTTGGATCTTGCCAATACCTCTCCAGCCTGGGACACCTTGACTTCCTCTGGTTTGTTCCCTTCCCACTCAATGCCAAGAAATTCACAGAGTGCAGACTGCAAAAGCGCCACATTGGAAAGCCCAGGTGTATTCAATGCTCTAGGATGGCCCTGTTACCAGCGACCTGATTCCTCCTGACTTCAAAGCAGTTTCCACATGTATTAGTCAGGGTTCTCCAGATAAACAGAACTAGTAGGATGTATAGATAGATAGATGGAGAGAGATTTATTATAAGAAATTGGCTCATGTGACCATAAAGACTGACAATCCTAAGAGCTGCAGTTGGCAAGCTGGAGACTCAGGAGGGCCAATGCATAGTTCTAGTCTAAAGGCTGGCAGTGAGACCCAAGAAGAGCTGATGTTTCAGTTTGAGTCTGAAGGCAGGAAAAAAGCCAATGTCCCTGCTCAAATGCAGACAGTCAGGCAGGAGGCGTTCCCTGTTATTTGGGAGCAGGTCAGCTTTTTATTCTATTCAGGCCTTCAGCCGACTGGCTGAGACCCGCACACATTAGAATGGGAAATCTGCTTTACTCAGTCTGCTGATCTCAATGTTAACCTCATCCAAAGACATCTTCACAGAAACAGTCAGAATAATGTCTGACCAGCTAGCTGGGCATCCCATGGCCCAATCAAGTTGACACATAAAATTAACCATCACACCACACAACCTCCGATGGTCTTGTTACATGGATGGAATATCCAGGGACCAATGATTCTTCTTTACTCCATGTCTCTCATCTTGCAGAGACCAACAGAGGGTTTGTTAGTGCTCAGAATTCACTCAGGCAGCCTGAGGTACCCATGTAAAGGACCTAGTGGTCCCGGGAGTGTGAGAAGCAGCCTCAGCATCCCCATGAGAAGGCTGGTCCAATTCCCCCCTCCTTGTCATGGCAGGGAGGTTGGGGTGAGCCTCTCTTTTCTCATCTTTGCCCAGGTGGCATCTTCTGCACCAACGGGCTCAGCTAGATGTGTGTGGAGGACCATGGCTGTGCTGGCTTAAATGAAGAAGGATGGTAGTTGAGATGATAGTGTAGGAGGGACCCAGTGCCGAATATGACAGCACCAGCAAAGTGCTGAAGTTCCCAGGGCAGCATGCTCATGGGAGTGGGTGGGAGGCTCTCAGGTGGGAAGAGGATGCCGTATTATTTAGGTTGGCTTCTGTAATGACTGAGGTTTGGTTATTCTTTACAGTGGGAGATAGAAGAGGAACCAGGCTTTCAAAGCGGTCTCTCTCTATTGTGAAACAGGATATATACGGGAGCTTCTAAGAGAGGACATTTGGCTAGCCTGGGGGCTGGCAAAGGGCTGTCAGACAGGGATACAGGCGAGTTAAGCCCTGCCAGAAGGATGGGCTGGCAAGGGTCATCCTGTCAGATCTTCAGGCCAGAGGTCGCAGCTAGGAACTGTTTCTCAAATGGTCACTGAGGATCGCATCAGAGAGAATGTGGGATGACGATGGGATGGAACCTTACAAGTAAACCTTGTTTAGTTACTGTTTTACCATAAGCCGCTCTGTTTTATGACAGTGTTTTGTCACACTTTAGACAGACCACAGCTTCTCCTTTTCCTCAAACTGAGCTATGAGATGGGAATGAATCTCTCGTCTCTCTCTCTCTTATCCTCCCCTTCACTCCCCCTTCCCACGGCCTTCACACTCACCTGCACCAGGTCTGGCGTGAGGCGCTTGGCCTGCAGCCATTTCTGGAACCTCTCCGTTTTCCGCAGGACACGCTCGATGCTACAGGTCTTTGGGGCTGAGGCAGATGCACAGATCCTCCTGTCTGAGACCTCGTTTTGATATTTGCTGACCAGCCTAAGGATCTCCACAGGGCGCCAGATTTTGGAATCATCTGAGTAATTTGCAGGATAAGAAAGCAAGAAGTCGGGAGGCAGTCCAAGGTGGGAAGCCAGCCGGTTGTCAGACCTGCCGGAAGAATAGCTCTTTGAGGACTGGCCTGTGAGCAGGAGGCTCGCAGAGCCCAGGGACAGGGAGACAGGGGACAAGAGCCCAACTGATCCATTTCTCCTACTTAGACTGAGGTGTTCGAAATTCTTTTTGTGAGACGACTATTTTTGTTTCTTCAAACTTAGGGCAGTGTATATATCATAGCAGAAAAGGCGAGGGAGCGATGAGTCACACACAGACACGATCCTCTTCATGCAACTGGCACAGAAAGACTAGCTATGGCTCTCTGAACTTTTCCTCCCTGTAAAGATAGCAGCTTTATATACACTGCCATTTTAGATTCCCCTAATACCCAATTTCCACTGTACAGGGGTAGAAACCCAGGCTTATAGAGCTTAAGTGTCTTGGCCAAGGTCAGACAATGCGTTGCCAGTCAGAGGTGCGGACCGCGGGCTGTCTGTCAGCAAACCCCAGCATCTTTCCCTTTCCCTACACTGGTTCCCCAAACTGCTCACCCTCTGACCAGTGGCTGGGTCTTGGAACCACAGAGGTTATTGAAGAAGCTCTTGGACCTACACTAAGGAGATCACTGTACCTCCATACCATACCCCAAGCAGCCCCATTAATTTTGTTTTCAGTCTAAAAATTTAAATCGTCAGCACCAACAAAGTCTCAGGCAAGAGTGACTACTAAATTCTCACCAAATTGGAAGCTATCTGGGTTCCAGGAGGTGTGTGATTCTACATGATGGCCTGGTCAGTCCTTAATCCTCCTTAGGGGAGAGGTATTTGCCTTTTTTTTTTTTTTTTTGAGATGGAGTCTCACTCTGTCGCCCAGGCTGGAGTGCTATGGCTCAATCTTGGCTCACTGCAACCTCCATCTCTTGGATTCAAGCGATTCTCCTGCCTCAGCCTCCTGAGTAGCTGGGATTACAGGCACGCACTACCACGCCTGGCTAATTTTTGTATTTTTAGTAGAGACGCGGTTTCACCATGTTTGCCAGGCTGCTCTCAAACTCCTGACCTCAGGTGATCCGCCTATCTCGGCCTCCCAAAGTGCTGGGATTACAGGCATGAGCCACCACGCCTGGCCAGCATTGACCTATTATCATCTGCCAATTTCCTAGGCCCCACAGTTATGTTTTCTCCATAGTCATTTCTCCAGCTGTGTGCTGATATTTCCATTAGGGAAGAATGTTAAATCTCTTCTTGATTTACGTATGAAAAATTACTCGGAAAAAGTTTACCTTCCTTATTATTAAAAATTGAAGGTCATACTGCAAATGAAAATCAAGCAGCATAAGACATGTTACATATTGAATTTAAATAAGAATATTTAAATTCTTATTACTGGGCCACCCCATGATAATGAGTTTTGGATAATGAGTTTTGGAAGAATTAACATTTCGACTAGACCCAAACCCTAGATTGAGTTGTTTTTTTCTCTTACCCAACACAACTTTACCCTAAGAGACTGCAAGCTTTTCCCACTGTTCTGATGGCAAAGAAAGTCACACACAAAAATTACAAGGGCAAAGAGGTCAAGGGACTCAGCCAGGAAGCTGGAGAGCCCAGCCCCCTGAATCCTTGAGTTATGCGCTAGAGCTCCAGCCTCTCACATCTGGGAAGGTGCTCCAGTGGAAACTGCCAGTGAGTAACTTCTGCAACGCAGGACGATGCAAATTGCAACGGAAGTAGGCACAAAGGATTCTGTACAAGAACACTGCCATCGATGTATTTGAAAAGATGAAACAGTGTAAACTTGGAATGAGTCCATTTTACTAGAAGTTTCGGGACAACTATGGGAAATGATCCTCCCCTCTAGGTGGATAAGGGCCCAAGACCCAGAGACGGGCCTGTCTGCCTGTATCCTGCTTGCTCATGGAGTTTCAAACTCACCCCCACTCCCCACCCCCTAACCACCAAACGGACGGGAGCAGGAAAGTTATCACTAGGTGGCTCTTTCAGATAATGATAATAGTAACAAATATTTGTGAAACACTTAAGTGTGCCAGTCACTTTACTTAAACACTTCATATGTACTGATTCATTTAATCCTTTCAATAAACCTATGAAGTTGATACTATTATTAATATACAGATGAGGAAACTGAGGCACAGAGTGATTATGTCATTTGCCCAAGGTCACATGACCAAAAATTGGAGGAAGTGGCATTCAAGGCTCCAGAGCTTGCAGTGGGGATACCACTGCACCTCCATGCCCAACACCAAAGGAACCCCATTAATTTTTTTTTTTTTTTTTCTGAGACTGAGTCTCACTATGTCACTCAGGCTGGAGTGCGGTGGCACAATCTTGGTTCACCACAACCTCCACCTCCTGGGTTCAAGTAATTCTCCTGCCTCAGCTGGGATTACAGGCAAGTGCCACCACGCCTGGCTAATTTTTGTATTTTTAGTAGAGACAGGGTTGCATCATGTTGGCCAGGCTGGTCTTGAACTCCTGACCTCAAGTGATCTTCCCCCCTCGGCCTCCCAAAGTGCTCGGATTACAGGCATGAGCCATGGTGCCTGGCCCCAGTAATTTTAATTTTGTTTCTTTGATCACTTTGTGGCTGCTTATTCTTCTATCACCCATTTTATGAATTAGCTCGTAGAAACAGATTGGTAACGTTATTAGGAGTTATAGGTGGCAGGATCCTTGAAGATTATTTTGTCCCTGCTCCATTCTGCATCTTGTTTTGAGAATGAGAAAATTAAATGCAGAAGATACATATGACTTTTCTGAAGACTCACAGGCAATTAGTGGTAAAGGGGAGCAGGACTCAACGCTCCTGTTCTCCCAGCTGGTAGGGGTGGTGTGGGAAGAGATTCCCTACCCTTTGAGACAAGTTCATTGTCCTTTTTTTTTTCTGTCCCCACCTCCTAAGGAGGCTCTTCTGAGATGACAGCACTGCCTTGGCAGATGACTAATAATGAGTGCCTGGGCAGGTTCCATGATGGCTTCTTCCATAAGGACTAATTGAGACAAATAAACAGGATTACAGGCTGTACTTCTCCCCTCATTCAAAACGGTAATACATTTATTGCACTGAATGGGAAAAATGTATATTCTTACAGCACTGACTGCCTACTTTATTGAATAGAAGAATGGCAGTGAGAAAATGTCAGTGGTTTTGATTCACTAAAATGTTCCTATCCTGGAATTTGGACAACCACAAAGCAGAGACAGCATTCTAATCCTCCTCCTAAATTGAGATCATGGGCTTGACTGGAGTGAGGCTGGCCAAGTTCCTCATTGTGTTGAAAGACGGACAAGCAAAATTATAGTTTCTCAGAGCTGGGAGAAAGCATCAAGGCCATGTGGTTCAATCCCCCTAAATCCCTCAACATGGGATGGGGGTGTAGGGGAGGGAGACAGCTTTGGAATTCAAATAAAATGCCCTCTTCCCATGCATTCTTCTGATGCTTGTGTCTGGTCAAACACAAAGTCTATCGATACGCCTTCCTAAATTTGTTTCTCCTCTCTTCCCTCTTCTTCATCTGCTAGCTCTGCACTGAAGCCTTAAACCATTCAGTGTCTTTCCAAAGCTCTCACGCTGCAGTTCATGCTCCTTAGTGCTTAGAGCTTAGTCCACAATGCTCGGCCTGCTGCATTGCCTTCTGCTCTTTTTACAAGTTTGCTTTGATCTCACCAAATATGGCTTATCCACTGACTATCCTTGGATAAGCCACATTCTTTCAGGCCTCCGAGGTTCCAGCCACCTGTCATATGCTGACACCTTTGTCTGAGATACTTTCTTTCTCTTCCTTGTCTGGAAAATCCCTACGTAGCCCTTTAAAACCCAGATGGGTACCACCTCTTTGGAACTCACTCCCTCACCCCCAGGTGGGACCTTCCCATACACTCCCATGATACCCTGTGTAAGACATTTAAAAATATTTACCATACTCTGTTTTAACCATTGATTTACTTATTGGTCTTCCTAATAGTAAACTCCTTCAGAGCAAAGATTTGACCTCTTTTAAATTTGTAACTCAGTGTTCAGCAGAGTACCAAGTTAGTGCTCAATACTTTACAGTTGGATGGATGGATGGGTATTCAGATGTACAGATAGATATGTGAGTAGACAGAGCATGGAGGGCTGGATGGTGGGATGCACAGAGTGATGGTTGGGTGGAAGAATGCACGGAGGGCTACCTGGATGAATGGGTAGATGGATGGTGGATGAATGGGTGCATAGGTTCACATAAGGATGACTGAACATGTAGATGAATACTTTTGCCATAAGCTCTTGAGCCCTGTATTTCTCAAGGTTCCTGAGTTGATGTAAAGAAGTGAGCTAAGACAATAACTATTATCAACTTCTGAGGGCAAGGAGACAGATAAGAGGCAATGGAGAAGGGATGGCCAAATCAGGCCTGATGATTTAGTTATTTTACTGTGAGCCCTCCACGGCTCAGTTGGAAGTGTTTAAACATTTTTTTAAGACTTTGATATTGGAGGTGGTATAGAAGACCACGTGTGTATAGTAAGGAAGGTGAGATGAAGCATTAGCCCTGGTAAGAGCCTAGAACTCCTAGGGATTACTGTGATCAGATGTACTGCCGCTATTTACTTCCCGACCTCCATACCATGCATGCAAAATACTGACCAACCAGATCATGGGAGATCTTACCAATTGGTGTGACTTCTCAGGGTTTCATATATAGGTATATTGTCAGTAAGAAGAGTATGGCAATCAGGCTGACTTATTTTCCTAGCTTCCCTTAAATTTTTTCATTCAGGATTTAAAAGTCAACATGGAATGCATGGGAAGATTGGTAGTGTAAACATTCATAATTTTAAAGGTCAGTGGTCGAGTATGTGATTCATCCTTAGCACTCTTGCCAAAGGAAAGACAAGAGAAAAGAGGAAAGGTGACGTTTATCTGTTAGTCATGTGTCTTCAACATATCCAGCCATTCTGGGAAGCCCATCTATGATCTGCTGCTGAACAGATGCAAGCACTGTCCAATCCTTAGTGAGGACTAGGATCTGGCTATAGCATTTGAACCAAATAGCTGGCAGTTTTGGATGGGCTTTCTCCTAAGGTGTCATGGTAATCACTCTTTTAAAGTGGGAAAACATTTGGAAATCAAGAAGAACACAATGAACAAATACACCATTAGAAAGAGAGGCAAAGGATGTGAATCCGTAGATGATTTAGCAAAGAAGAAATACAAATGGTCAAGAAATCTGAAGAAAGGTTCAACTCAGAAGAAATACAACTAAAAAAAAGTATTAAATATTTGTAAGTGTGCAAGAAGTGAGCTTTACAATTAGAAGTCTTTATTTAGATATATATATATATCTCCTTCCATTTTGTCTTTTTGACCCAGAAATTTCACTTTTAGAAGTTTGTCATAAGGAATTTATCACTGATGTGCACAAAACATAGCTGCAGGAATGTTTAACATAGAACTGTTCATAATACCAAAAAGTGAAATTAAAAACCTCTGGTCTCGGCCGGGTGCGGTGGCTCACGCCTGTAATCCTAGCACTCTGGGAGGCCGAGGTGGGTGGACCACCTGAAGCCAGAAGTTCAAGACCAGCCTGGCCATCATGGTGAAAACCCATCTTTAAAAACTAAAAACAACAACAAACCCCACCTCCCCCCCATCTCACAATGGCGGTTTTAATAAATTATGGTTAAATAATTAAATAAGTTATGCTTAGTTAAATAAATTATGGTTGATTAATGCGATTGAATACCATGAAGCTGTTAAAAATCAAACTGTGCAGAAGATCATTCAGTAATATGGAAAGGTGTCCCTGATGTATTGTTAAATAATTGTTTCCAAAAAGTCTACATAGCATATTCACATTTTTGTAAAAAATTTTCTTAATTCACACTTAGAAAAAGGGTGGCAAGGATATGCAAGAAAATGTTCACGAAGGGGTGATCTCTTGGTGGAAGAATTATATGCGATTTTATTTTGTGCTTTCTTTAATCTTCCCTGAAAATACTAAAATAAACAGGCACAACTTTAAGAAAAAAAGTTATTTATAATGTAGAGAAAAGAACTCTAAACAGGACCACCTTCCCAGACCCACTGACTGCCTCTCTCTGCCTCTTTGTGCTGAGGATCATCAATCTGCCCTGCCTGGTGTTTTCCTGCTTGTATCAGCACACTTCCCTGTCACGGGCACATGGAAAATGAATTCTAAGGGAAATGAAGTAATATCCTGAACTCTAACGGAATACAAACCTATTTAGGGAAATGCTTTCTGAATTTGGCTAGCATCTGCCTGGAAAGAACAACTTCATTTATTGCCCTTTGGTGAATATGCAGTCATCCTAGAGCTCTTCCTCAGTTGAACCCTTAAATTTCTCTCCCTCCTATGTTAAAATGTATCTGTCTTCTCCTTGGCTCCTCTCTCCAAGGAATCAGCATCCCTTCCCCTGTGTTCTTGGTCCTGTTCATCTCATTTCCCAGGTGGAAAACCCTGAATTCACATTCAACATCTCCACATTGACTTTCTCTCACATGGTGTTGGTCAACAGAATGACTCTACAGCTGGACTGACTTGTATCCTTCATATTCTACTTTGTTCCCCATGACTCGTGTCCTGGACTATGGGAACTGCTCTCATTGCCCCTGCCAACACCACCAGTCCATCCTGTACACTTTCCGCGAGCTCTTCCCAAATCACACGTCTCACGTTGGCCCTCTCCAGCCTAACACTCTCACCATGGCCTGCAACAGAGATTCCTCAATGGGTGGTCTTTCAAAAATGCCTTTAGAAAGGTTTAATGTGCCTTTAGAAAGGCTGAATAGGAAAAGTCCACAGCAACTCCATAAAATGCCTCACAGAAGACGTTTAAGATTTTTGATTGGTATTTTCTATTATTTCTATTTAGTAATTTAGTTGAGTAGGCAAAAATGTCTGATTAATACAGATTGCAAATAAAATCATTTAAATGCCTTTTGTTTGGTCACCAAATCTTACAAGCATAAGTCAGGTCCTTTGAGGAAGATAGAGGAGAAAGGGCATGTGACAAAGGGTCTTTGGTACTGAAAAGACTGGAAACCACTGGTCCACAGGATTAAGGCCCCAATTCCTTGGCATGGCAATTAAAGACCCCCTGCCTCACATATCCCTGCAATCTCCTCCGCTGTCATGCGGCCACATACATTCCACGCTCTAGCTGCTAAACACCTTTTCCGTCTTCCCACACCTTTGCTTAAGATGTTACTTCCACCTTAAAAGCCCTTCACCTCCCATGGCATTTCAGCTCATCCTTTAAAAGGCCTTGCTCAGAATACCTCCTCGTGGGGAAGCCCTTCCCCAGTTCCCATTTGGAATTAATGGCGCTCCGGGAGGTCCTTTACACTGTCCTGCATCAGACCAAGCCTTAATACTATCACTTTAAACATGACTCCCTCGGGCCTGACTCCCTAGAAAGTGATGACCGGAGTTGTAGTTGCTGTCACCGCAGTCCCTGCTAGATTTTGGCCATGGTAAAGGCTCATCAACTGTGTGTTGATAGCCTTGAATTCCAGAGCGTGACCCCATTCTTTGCTGAGAGCCATGTGCATGCAATTTACTAAACTCCGGTTTTCCTCTGATCAAGGCAATCTCTCACAACAGAAAGGTGGCTCAGAAACTTGGGAGCAAACTGTCCTGGTTTGAATCCCAGATCTGCCGCTTATTAGGTGGTAACCTTGTGCAAGTTACTTAATCTTTTTTAAAAAATAAATTTTATTGTGTGGATTTCAAGTATACAACATGATGTTATAAGATGCATATACATAGCGAAACGGGTCCCATCATCTCACAGAGTTATCCATTTCCCCCTCTGAAGTCACTTTATCTTGCTATGCCTCAGCTTTCCACCTCAATAATGGGTGCACATCATTAAGTCTCACGATGGTTTAAAATATCTATCACATTGCAGGCTTTCTGCAAATTTTATATCTCGCCGACCATGAGAAATGAACTTGGTAAACTCAACCATCCCAGGCTACTCTGTTCATAGGAAAGAAAACTTGAAGCTTTCACTTCAAAAGGAAATGTTGGGTTTAACATTTAGGGCTGGAATTTGGCTTTACATCTTATCCTCCTACCCACCCCAGCTTCAGACCATTACTGCTCTGATTAAAAGGATTTGTTTCAGCTCCCACCCATATATTACATCCTGATTCCTTTTCAACAAATTCCTGGACATCTTCACAAGAAGGGAACAGAATTTAGTGACTCAGAGTTATTTGATTGATATTCTGACCTTATTTCTTCTTTAAAGAACTTCTTGCAAATAGATGTCCCGATGCAGGCATTGCATTTATCAAGACCGAGGAAAGTCCTTCCAAAATTGTAGCTGGTTCTGACTTGGGGCACCAGAGAAGGAGGGGAAGAAGCTGGCAAGGAGAAAGAACAGCTCAGAACTGAGACCCACAGCAGCAGGGCCGGCCAGCCGTGGCGGAGGGCGGCAGCCTCAGGCCCCAAATGGGGCTCCATCTTGGGCTCTGGGCTCCAGCTGCAGCCTCTGGCTGCCCACTCGGGGTTGCACAGAGGCAGGGCTTGGCCAAAAAGGAAGCTGTCAGAGGGGGCTGGCTTCTGGGTGCTGATCCCATCCCAGCCTCCCAGGTTTCTTTGAGGATGATGGGGAGCTTCTGGCTAATGAGGCTGCGGAGGAGGTGAGGAAGTCAGTGGAGGATGCTGATAACGCTGTTTCCAGAGTTACTCTTCCTCTGCCAGGAGCGGCTGCTTCAGGCTGGGGAGGGGCTCACTGGCAGATTTTGGGAAGGACAATAGTCAGGGCTTCCCTGTGCGGTCCTTTTGACAAACACAGGATATCCCGGCAGGGCAGGAAAGGTCCGTGCAGGATGTGTGTCCAACCTGCATTCCACCTGGGAGTTTCAATGGCTCCTGAAAGCCTCCACCCTCCACTGTTTTAATTGTGTATATCTGTCCCTATGGATTTCACGTGCACACCAATTTTTGTCCCCTCTGTGCTAGGTCATCTGTCCTGCCCACTTTTGCCATATCTGGCTATGAAATAACTAGAGGTCAGTTCGCTTGCCATCAACTGGCACTTTTAGCACTTTTAGAACAGCAGAGGCTTTTTGCTGCTTAGGGAAGAGAAAACCTCAGGTTAGTCCATCTTCTCTTGCTGGTCTGAGAACAAGAGACGGGAAGGAACCTGGTGGCCTCTGTGGCATGATGAGGGGAGCGTCAGAAAGAGCCCTCTGACTGCACCCACCTGTGGCTATCCCTCTCCCACAGACCTGAAAGCTGGTCTTCCCTTACCAACTTGCTTCACTTCTCAGTGGCTTGGCCAGCTTTGGTACGATTTAACTGCACCAGGATTGCCTTCCTCTGGATACCAAGATAAAGTCCACAGCACGGAGTAGATGGGAGTGCTAATTTGGGAATAGACAGAACCTGTGAGAACCAAATCAGGGAAGTCAGGTTGCCTCACTTTCTGTGAGAGGGTACAGGTGCGGAGCAGGGCACAGTTTGAAAATAGGAGAAAGTACACGGGAAGACGGGTCTAGGGGAGGGGGAAAGGGAGGTAAGAGGGAGTGGGGATTGCCTCAGGACAATTGACAAGTTTTGCTAAACATTGATGGGAAGAGCAAATAAAGACAATTTTCTGCTGATGAAGCACGGGCTTACTTAGCGTCTGCGTAGCCTCCTCACTCAAATGTCTGCTCATGTTGGTTTTTTATTGGTGAGTTTTGACACTTGTTTTTGTATTTTAGATCCTAGTCCTCTGCTGGATAAGTGGCTTGCAAGTATTTTCTCCCGGGGGCTAACTTGCCTTTTATTCTTTTAACAGAGTCTTTCGCAGAGTGAAAGTTTTGATTTTGAAGTCCAACTTGTTAATTTTTTCTTTTTGAATCATGCTTTTGGTGTCAGGTGTGATAAAAGAAAAACGTAAGCACATTTACATTTTAAAGAGTTTACTTGTGTATTCAGCGATTCATGAATCAGGGCAGTATCAGACTGCAAACTTTCTGCTGGGAGGGGCAAGAAAGGAAACTTTTATAGCGTTTGCAGAAACAGGACAAAGAAAGCAATTTTTATTGGTTAGGGTCGAAAGTCCCTACTTAGAGATTAATTGATGATTTTTTTGATTGGTACATCTTCTAGTTGAAATTTACTATTTACATTGGGCTTTGGTTTGTTCACGTAGGAATTTAAAGTGCCAGAGCCACCTCAGTCTAATGGCCTCCCAATCAGAATTTTAAAAATTAATTCATCCCTTTTGATCAGCCTCTCATTTATGAGAGATTGACTAAAACTTGGGCATAAGCATCACTCTCTGCCGCCATCATGTCTAAGTTATCTTTGTCTCAGTGTGAAACTCGTAAGTCACAACATCAAAGCTCGTTGAGGAAAGATTCCTTTTGTTGTTCATCTCATTTTTGTTGTTCTAATTACAGTGAGACCATCTGGCATACTGTTGATGACTGTGAACACACATTTAAGACCCTCAAGTGAATATAGTTCACCGGGGGACGGTGATGACTACCAGGAGGGTGACATTGAGAGACTGCGGTATGTTTCTTAGACATGGTCCTCACAAACCAACCCAACTAACATCTCTAGAGAAACAAAAGACAACCAAAGGTCAATGACTAGAGCAAACTATAAACTCAGTCTGAGTCCAGAGGAAATTTAGTTTGGAGCTTGACAACATCTTTTTCTGGCTCGCAGTTTGAATGTCTCTGGTTATGGTACTGAGGGTTTCAATGATCTCCCTGAGTGATCCACATATCAGGCAGAAGGGTTGTCCTCTGAAGTCATATCAAGTTGTCTATATCTGTCTTGCCGGGTCTCAGGAACAGAGCACGTCTTGTTCTTAGTGATTCCAAGTCTGAAAAATGGGAAAAAAAATTGGCTTGGAGGAATCAAGATGAATTCAGAAATCAGTCCAGTCTACGGGTAGACAGTGATACTCAAAAACCGTAAATATGGCTACAATCTGCTATCAAAAATTCTGCACAGACCTCTTCCAGACATTCCAGATGTCCTCTGGGATGTCTCAAAGTTAGTTCTAGGTCAAAAAGGGTTAATTTAGAAGTTTGTTTTGGGAAGTTTGTAAAAAATATCGAAAGGTCTAAAATACTTGATTAAACAGGATCTTTAGTCATTATGAAACTATGAGAGGCAAATACAGAAAGATCATATAGCTGTAAAACAGCTTAGCTCTTTTAATATTGAGAAGACTCAGTTTTTAAAAATATATAGAATCAAATACCAAGTAAAAGACAACATGAAACACAAGAAATTATCCTGATAAAACACAAATCCTTGTAAGGTAAATTACTTAAAAGAAAAAACTTTCAGCAAGAAAACTTTGTTCTGTCAACAGAAAAAAAAAAAGAAAAAAGCCAGTGTCTAGCTTTGTATCAATGTACTTTTGATATTAAAGCTAATTTTTAAAAACCCTTCTAATAAATGTATTGAATTTTAGCAAGCTTGACAACACATGAAATATATTTTTCAAATTTTAAACTATCAATCCCTTTCTTATATCAATTTACTTTGTCCTATACTATTCCTCGCTCCCACTGCGGACCAATTAATCACTCTAAGACAAAAATTACTCTTTTTTTCCCCCTTAACAAAAATACATCCTTATACTTACAACTTCCTTGATAAAACATGCCTTACTTCATTCACATGTACAGTTGTTGCCCTTATTATTTCTAGAAGTTTTAATTGCATACATTAATTAGAATTTTAAATTCTTAGTAACCTTAATTTCTAGTGAAAACTGGTAAGCATTATAAACAGTTTCATATCACCATTTTCTAAACAAACACCATGTCATATATAATAGTTCATGTTTATTAGCAGACCCAAATATAATTAGCTTCTCTATACTGTATAAAAACAAAATGCCAAAGTAGATATTCTTTAATCTTATGTTCAGCAATTAATGTTTTAACTTACTGAGAAATGGCCTCAATATTTAATGAATATTTATTACTTAACTGAACATAACATAACTTTAAGATTTCAAGTTACTGGCCAGGCATGGTGGCTCACGCCTGTAACCCCAGCACTTTGGGAGGCCAAAGTGGGTGGATCAACTGAGGTCAGGAGTTCAAGAAGCCTGACCAATTGGTGAAACCCCGTCTCTGCTAAAAATACAAAAATTAGCCAGGGCTGGTGGTATGCGTCCAGCTACTCAGGAGACTGAGACAGGAGAATTGCTTGAACCCTGGAGGTGGAGGTTGCAGTGAACTGAGATCGCACCACTGCACTCCAGCCTGGGTGACAGAGCAAGATTTTGTCTCAAAAAAAGAAAAACAAAAAGATTTCAAGTTACAAAAAAAATTTTTGAAACAATTTTAGGTAGACATATTTTATAAAACATAATTACTTTTGAAGTTTATAGACTTACTTCATTTACATTTACCCAATTCATTTGTTCTTTTTTTAATTTTTGTCTTTTGTGGGCACATAATAGGTATTTATATTTATGGGGTATATATGATATTTCATTACAGGCGTCTAATGTGTAATAATCATATAAGGGTAAATGGGGTATCAAAACCTTCAAACATGTATCCTTTGTGTTACAATCTAATTATACTTTTTCAGTTGTTAAAGAATGTGCAATTACATTATTATTGACTATAGTCACCCTGTCGTGCTACCAAATACTAGCTCTTATTCATTCTTTGTAACTATTTTTTGTACCTATTAACCATCCCCACTTCCCCTCCCCTGACACCCTCACTACCCTTCCCATCCTCTGGTAACCATCCTTCTACTCTCTATCTCCATGAATTCAATTGATTTGATTTTTAGATTCCCACAAATAAGTGAGAATAAGTGAATTGTGTCTTTTTATGCCTGGTTTATTTCACTTAACATAATGATCTCCAGTTCCATCTGTGTTGTTGCAAATGACAGGATCTCCTTTTTAATGGCTGAATAGTACTCCATTGTTTGCATGTACCACATTTTCTTTATCCATTTGTTTATTGATGGACACTTACGTTGTTTCCAAATCTTAGCTATTTTGAATAGTGCTACAGTAAACATGAGCATACAGATCTCTTTGATATACTGATTTCCTTTCTTTTGAGTATATACTCTGTTAGGGTATATAGTGAGATTGCTGGACCACATGGTAGTTCAATTTTTAGTTTTTTGAGGAACCTCTGAACTGTTCTCCATAGTGGTTGCACTAATTTACATTCCGACCAACAGTGTATGAAGGTTCCCTTTACTCCACATTCTCTCTGGACCTCAGGTGATTAGCCCACCTCAACCTCCCAAAGTGCTGGGATTACAGGTGTGATCCACCACACCCAGACTAGGTCTTGTGCTTCTATTCATTTGTTATTACCTGACTCTTAGATAAAAGCCATTTTTTTTTTCTTTTCTTTTTTTATTGCATTTTAGGTTTTGGGGTACATGTGATGAACATGCAAGATTGTTGCATAGGTACACATGGCAGTGTGCTTTGCTGCCTTCCGTCCCCTCACCTGTATCTGTCATTTCTCCCCATGCTATCTCTTCCATTTTAACTGGGGTGAGATAATGTCTCACAGCAGTTTTGATTTGCATTTCTCTGATGATCAGTGGTGTTGAGCACCTTTTCATAAACCTG